GCGTCGGCTAGCGGTCATAGGGGTTCTTTTGGCGTCCGCATCGGCATTTTCGGCTTGTCGGCGCAGTTTCTTGACGTCGTGTCTCTCCGAAGGGAATGTCGTCGAGGTGTCCGCGTCGGCTAGCGGTCATAGGGGTTCTTTTGGCGTCCGCATCGGCATTTTCGGCTTGTCGGCGCAGTTTCTTGACGTCGTGTCTCTCCGAAGGGAATGTCGTCGAGGTGTCCGCGTCGGCTAGCGGTCATAGGGGTTCTTTTGGCGTCCGCATCGGCATTTTCGGCTTGTCGGCGCAGTTTCTTGACGTCGCGTCTCTCCGAAGGGAATGTCGTCGAGGTGTCCGCGTCGGCTAGCGGTCATAGGGGTTCTTTTGGCGTCCGCATCGGCCTTTTCGGCTTGTCGGCGCAGTTTCTTGACGTCGTGTCTCTCCGAAGGGAATGTCGTCGAGGTGTCCGCGTCGGCTAGCGGTCATAGGGGTTCTTTTGGCGTCCGCATCGGCATTTTCGGCTTGTCGGCGCAGTTTCTTGACGTCGCGTCTCTCCGAAGGGAATGTCGTCGAGGTGTCCGCGTCGGCTAGCGGTCATAGGGGTTCTTTTGGCGTCCGCATCGGCATTTTCGGCGCAGTTTCTTCACGTCGCGTCTCTCCGAAGGGAATGTCGTCGAGGTGTCCGCGTCGGCTAGCGGTCATAGGGGTTCTTTTGGCGTCCGCATCGGCATTTTCGGCTTGTCGGCGCAGTTTCTTGACGTCGTGTCTCTCCGAAGGGAATGTCGTCGAGGTGTCCGCGTCGGCTAGCGGTCATAGGGGTTCTTTTGGCGTCCGCATCGGCATTTTCGGCTTGTCGGCGCAGTTTCTTGACGTCGCGTCTCTCCGAAGGGAATGTCGTCGAGGTGTCCGCGTCGGCTAGCGGTCATAGGGGTTCTTTTGGCGTCCGCATCGGCATTTTCGGCTTGTCGGCGCAGTTTCTTGACGTCGCGTCTCTCCGAAGGGAATGTCGTCGAGGTGTCCGCGTCGGCTAGCGGTCATAGGGGTTCTTTTGGCGTCCGCATCGGCATTTTCGGCTTGTCGGCGCAGTTTCTTGACGTCGCGTCTCTCCGAAGGGAATGTCGTCGAGGTGTCCGCGTCGGCTAGCGGTCATAGGGGTTCTTTTGGCGTCCGCATCGGCATTTTCGGCTTGTCGGCGCAGTTTCTTGACGTCGCGTCTCTCCGAAGGGAATGTCGTCGAGGTGTCCGCGTGGGCTAGCGGTCATAGGGGTTCTTTTGGCGTCCGCATCGGCATTTTCGGCTTGTCGGCGCAGTTTCTTGACGTCGCGTCTCTCCGAAGGGAATGTCGTCGAGGTGTCCGCGTCGGCTAGCGGTCATAGGGGTTCTTTTGGCGTCCGCATCGGCATTTTCGGCTTGTCGGCGCAGTTTCTTGACGTCGCGTGTCTCCGAAGGGAATGTCGTCGAGATGTCCGCGTCGGCTAGCGGTCATAGGGGTTCTTTTGGCGTCCGCATCGGCATTTTCGGCTTGTCGGCGCAGTTTCTTGACGTCGTGTCTCTCCGAAGGGAATGTCGTCGAGGTGTCCGCGTCGGCTAGCGGTCATAGGGGTTCTTTTGGCGTCCGCATCGGCATTTTCGGCTTGTCGGCGCAGTTTCTTGACGTCGCGTCTCTCCGAAGGGAATGTCGTCGAGGTGTCCGCGTCGGCTAGCGGTCATAGGGGTTCTTTTGGCGTCCGCATCGGCATTTTCGGCTTGTCGGCGCAGTTTCTTGACGTCGCGTCTCTCCGAAGGGAATGTCGTCGAGGTGTCCGCGTCGGCTAGCGGTCATAGGGGTTCTTTTGGCGTCCGCATCGGCATTTTCGGCTTGTCGGCGCAGTTTCTTGACGTCGTGTCTCTCCGAAGGGAATATCGTCGAAGTGCTCGCTTCGCCTAGCGGTCGAAGTGGTCTTCGTGAAGTCCCCTTCGGCGTCTTCGGGTTGCTGGCGCTGCATATCTTGACGTTTTTTCCTCCGCGGCGAATGTCGTCAACGTGCTCGTGCTGTCTTTGTTCCCCGCCATTGTGTTTGCGTTCGGCTGGCAGCTTTGTCCCTCCAGACAAAACATGTGAAATGTAAGAACTCAAAGAAATTGCCAGACAGGTTTAGAACTGCTCGTCAAATTTATTCAATAAACGTGAAAAATAAAATGCACGGGTAGATCGTCACCTGGTTCCTTTATGTAATAAACATACACGTTAAACTGCATGTTTCGCTCACGCTGTAGTTAGAAGCGTCATTAAATACACTAGATACTAAGCGGATCCCGTATAAGCGCATAGTGCGTGGCTAAATACGAATACATAACTGTTTCCACTCCCGTGTTCTTTATTTTGATCGAACTCAGAAGTTGCGTGCACCGTCTCGGAAGCTACAAATGTCCTAAAGCGATAAGGATGGCGTCCCCTATATTAAAAAAAAAGAAAATAATAAAAGACAGCGCACAGTCACTTTTGCGTTATTTTTCGTGTTGACGTTGCATTATCTACATTCGATGATCGCACAAATTAACTTCAGGTGTATGTCAGCGCCGTTGTTCGTCTACCTTCTCGTTATTGTCCGTGTCTTTGAGCAGTTTTTAAGTTTTTAACCATGAAATACCAATTCTCTCAGACGTCAAGCTTAGTTAACTTCAGTTTTCGAGATTGTGTTCCTCGGCGCGTTGTCGTCTGCTTGCGTATTTGGTTATTGTATTACATTTTGTCTACTTCTCGACTACGCTTGCACTGTACCCAGTTTCATAAATGGTGTGCACCGCAGGCGAAGGCTAGAGTGTGACCAGGCTACCTCTTACACAGCAAGGAATAGTTCCAATAAAAAAAAAAAGCCGTTTGTGTTGATATGCTACAACAGCACACATTTCATATATCTTTACTTTTCCGATCGATTTCCACTGAAAGGACATTTATTTGATTAATTTATACTGTAGGCATTTCTGCTAAATTCTGTGGTCTCGTTAGGCTCGAACAGCTAAAGCCAGGCCGAACCGCTTTCGAAAACAGCGCAGCAGCGTCCTCGCGACTGCGAGTTCTAGTACAGTACGACATTACATTTTTACCAGAGGTGATTTCCACAAACTATAATGAACACACATTAAGGCGGGCAGTGATCACCGGCAACTTAGTGCTTACGATAGGCAAAAGCTTCTCGATGAGAGGAGATGATCGACCGCTCGGGCGGAAACGATGTGAACGGACATGACGGGAGATCGTCGTGGCAGCCGATTGAGAGGGAGTGAAAAATGTTATTTTCGACAAAACGTTTTTTTCTTGAGTCAAGACATTCCGCATATACGATAAATGCAGAAACTATATTTTTGTGGCGCTCGTTTGCCTTTTGTGTTGCGCCGGAAAGACGCTATTCTAAGACTAGCCTTTTTTTTTTTTGCCCAAGCTTATAATTTCTAGTGATTTTTCCCCCCACTTCAAAAATTTGTTTTCCTCTTTTCTGTAAGTAAAGAGCGTATCCTCTTTACTTGCGATTCTTCCTTGGACTCACCCTCACAATCCGACGATGGCTACCGCGGCATCACCAGTGCCGTGCACCTCCAAACCATCGTATTATCCTCAAAAGGCGAAACGAATTTCTATGCATGTGCTAGGAGCTTTGGTGAAGGAGTCGGAAAAATCTGGGGCACGAGGAGCGTCATTCAAAATACGATAGAGCTAACAGGTGTGCGTAGACCAGGGGCGGATCCAAGGGGGGGGGGGGGGGAGACAAGGGGCGACGGGGGCGGCCGCCCCCCCCCCCCCCCCCTCCCCCTTCTCGGAGGGCAATTTGACATGGGTGAACCTCCCGGTGCATAAAAAAGAATGGGAGAATAGTATCCTTACAAATTGTCCGCCCCCCCCCCCCCCCCCTTAAAACGGAGTTCTGGATCCGCTTTGCGTAGCCGCTGCAATTCCAAGACTGTATGTGCGGGTTGCGCAAGCAGACGACAACGCGCGGAGGAAAACAATCTCGGAAACTGAAGTTGACTAACCTTGACGTCTGGGACAATTGGTATTTCATGGTTAAAAACTTAAAAACTACTCAAAGACACGAACAATAACGAGAAGGTAGACGAACAACGGAGCTGACATGCACCTAAAGTTAATTTGTGCGATCATCGAATGTAGATAATGCAACGTCAACACGAAAAATAACGCAAAAGTGACTGTGCGCTGTTTTTAATTTTTTTTTTAGTATAGGGGACGCCATCCTTATCGCTTTAGAACATTTGTAGCTTCCATGACGGTGCACGCAACTTCTGAGTTCGATCAAAATAAAGAACACGGGAGTTGAAACAGTTATGTATTTGTATTTAGACACGCACTATGCGCTTGTACAGGATCCGCTTTGTATCTAGTGTATTTAATGACGCTGTTAACTACAGCGTGAGCGAAACATGCAGTTTCACGTGTATGTTTATTACATAAATTTCCCATTGGACCACGAATATCCGAGAGACATCCGGTTTAGATCCGAACGTCCATGACCCCAACGACCGAAACGGGACGTCCAAGGGACCAACGCGGGACGTGTATTTCAGGTTATAAAGAACGTCCATTTTCTCTGCTCCTGTGGATGTCCTCTAGATGTCCGTTTTGGGATTTGCCCGATAGATCCCGGGCATGATATACTCTGGACGTCCACTCTAACACAATATAAATCACTTCGATTAGAGGGTCTAGGATAGTGCATTCCAAAAGCCAGAGCAGCACTGAGCATCCGGAAGGCCCTAAGTTTCAAAAACTAGCGAAAAGACAGCGAGTGTGCACGCAAGCTGGTGGTAGCTAGCCAATCGTGTCGAATAAAGCCTCTGCGCTCGCAGCATGCAGTCTCAGGTGTTGAAGTTGCCTCCCATGGCTTTAACTTCGGCTTTCAGATTTTCCTACCCTAAACTTATTAATTTAATGGTGATGCGTCCTGTTTTCATCCCGTGTGTTTTTGTTTCGTTTTCGGAGTTATTTGCTGGAGGGGCTGCTAGATCGCCATCGTCATCAATCCTGTTTTTCCGGCTCCTCTGCAGCTAGTGCGCGCGCGAACGTTTTGGCGGGTTTTCCACTTCTGGTTTCGTCGTCTCGGAAATAAGGTGAGTACCTCATTGTATTCATTTAGTCCGATATGTATCCTATTTACGTAAAAATTCGGCTATACCGCCATTGTCTACTGAGGCATGTCGTAGCGTAGTAGCCCGCGTTGACTGTGAGTACTGTGCCACCATGCCTGGATCACGGGCGGCATACGCCTGCGAGAAGCCTCCCGAGAAAAAAGAACTTTAGCGCTTCTTGAGCATGCCAGCGGGTCCATATCACAAGAGCGAATGACATTTTAGCGAACGGCGACATTTGAGCCAATGGTCGTTTTAGCGAATAACGGGGGCGCGCGTTAACCCATCCGTCGCGCTGCGCTTTACGCCGCTTCGCGGCGACAATCTGCGGCAATTCATTACAAAATAATGAACTCACTTGGCCCACCCGAAAACGCCACTTTGCGGCGTCCGACTGTTCGCTAAAGTGTCATTCGATGAAACGTGGGCGTCCGCTAAAACGTCATTCGCGCCCGCGGATCCTCGCGGGGGATCCGCGGGCATGTTCCGCGGATCCCCCGCGGGCGCACCAGATCAAAGGAGGATCCGCGGGCACCAGGCCAAAGGGGACACGATAATTTCGACGGTGAAAATAGCAGTGCCACCAGATGCGTCGTGGAAAGGATTTGCTGTGGCGATGAAAGGGTTATTCGGTATGGACAATATTATAATGTGGTGTGGTGCAAGAAAGCTGACACTACGGATGCTTGTCCTTTCAGCAACGTACGAGCAGGCACGGAAGAAGCTGGAGCGTAGCCAATACACATCGGAACTAAGCAGCGACTCAGAAAGGCCGCAATGCAAGAGGATGCGGAGGCCACCGCCCCAGTGGTCGCAGTCTGACGAGGAACCAGTGCGACACAAGCCAACAAAGGCAGCCCCCCGAAAAGTGCCTGCAGTACTGGCAGATTTTCCTCAAGGTGATTTGCTGAAAATTGCATCCTGTCTCGTGTTACACAAGACAGCCCTGAAAGTAAAAACAACTTGTTGCAACCAATGCAGTGTCGAACACTTCTTTCCCAGGCCTGTTCACTGCTGCATCAAAGGAGGGAAGCAGTTCTGCAGGAAGACAAAGTAAGTGAGCTTCCTCATGCTTGGCTCACATGTGGCTCATATCGAGGCATCACGGTGATGCTCCACACTTCACCACTGCTCCTAGCCAGCGGCTTGACAGTAGTAGTCTTTACTATGATTCCTTCTACAAGTATTGAAAAAAAAAAGCTTGCTGGAAGCCTGAGAGTGGCGGTCAAGTGCGAGGCTTCAGGAGGTTCTTTTTCAAGTTCTTTCTTCGAGCTCCGGTACCCATCATGATTTGTTGACACTCCCACAGGTTTGTCGTGTATGAACCGAAGTTGGTACTTAAACTTCAGTTAAGCTGCCGATTTCTCATTATTTCTATTCTGCTTTTAGTATCCTTCAGGCTCCAGTGTGCCGGACGACCTGGGAAATTTTGCTCCTGAGATTTGTGGGCAAGGTAAATTTAAAAAAAAAACAATTTTTAAAAGTAAATTAAGGCATTTATTATATGTGCTGCAATTGAGTTTATCCACAAACAAATTTCTAGGGTAGGAAGAAATGTTATAAGGTTTTCTTTGTTGAAATTCAGATATGTACAGGATTGAGCAATAACATTACCTTCAACTATTTTTGTATGCTGTGCAGGTAGCAGCCACTCGCAAGTGCCCTCAGATTCCTCTGAGAACTGCAGCATTTTAGACACAAGTAAGCATTTTTGTAATTGTATAGTAATAATCAGATTTATCAAAAATTTAACCTAGGGAAAACTTATGCTATTGCTGTCATTTCATACACAGCGATAGTCCTATTAGGAATCACTGCTATATGTTGTGTTCTATCGAACACCGCGGGTCTGTTTTGTCATTAAGTATGCATATGGACGCTCGCAAACATGAACAAGCACCGGTGCTGCTAGTCTCGACTTCTTTTTCTACAAAAGCTCTCCCTTTTTACTAAAATATCCATCGCTATATGTACCGGTGCCTAGCTAAGATGAGGAATTTTGCTCATAAAAATGTAATGCACTGTAATCAAGAATTAAGCTGTCTCATACCAAGGGAAGTTTACTGTACACAGGTTACATATTTTAAACCTCCTATTGAACAACCTAAATTAATTATGTTGTTTTATATTTCTTAACAACCTCATGCCTTGTAGCTTAGAAATGAGTTTCCTGGAATTGACTGTTTTTTTCCCTTTCACGTAGAGACATAAGGAGCTTGCAGTAATCCAGTTCACCTGTTGAAGGTAGTATTGTTTAATTGTCTCCTATTCGCAACTCCAGGGGCTTCCACGTCACCCAGCGGAAAAGACGTGAAGGATGGCAACAGGTTGTTCGTGCCTGTCCAACTGTGCTTCAAAAATTGGCGCAGCATGGCAACTAAAATGGGTAACAGAGAATTTGGGATTAAATGTGAACCATTGGAGTTGAAAATATTAATACAGAAAATTTAATCATATATATACTTTTTATTTGGGCAGTAAACTTGTTGCACTACAGCCTTGCATCAATCAAACATTAAATTGCATTAGATGAGGCATGCTAGGGGAGATCTTTTCAAGATAACATCTGGACATGATCATGGCTGGTTGACTAGTTCTGAGACCTTGCGAGATAAATTATCAATATTAAAATAAATAATGGTAAGACCTTTTTCTCTTTTTTTTTTTGGCGTCCCCAATCGGGTGCAGGGGGCATATTGGAAGCGACTAAATTTTGCAAATCCTAGGTGCCAGAAATGTGTATGTAAAAAGACCAAAAATTTAGCATGCCCTTAAATTTTATGAACTCTTCAATTCATGAACATTAAGGGCATGCAAATGCTAATAGTCTATTTGTATCTCTTTTTAGGAGTAGCAGACAGCTGTCTAGAGGACATTTAGAAGTCTTAAGTAGCGTTTCTAAAGCCTGAGTACTTGTAGGGCTTTAAGCAGGACCCACAAGATCAGGGTAAATATTTTTCAGTCATTCTAATAAAATTTCATTAAGTTATAGATTTGGGGTGTATTGTAAAAAAGAAGCAGGACCAAGAAATAAATGATGCTGACATCTGGCAAGGTGATTGTGCTGGCATGTTTGGTATTGTATGCTGTGCCTCTTTTTGTATTCCTGTTTTCTTCTGCATCTTAATTATTTTTTTCTAACCAAATATCTTTTTTTGATATATCTGGTGTGCCATAAAGAGTTACGGATAAAGACAACAGTCCTTATCCGCTTCCAGTGAAAGGGATCATAACGTGAGCTATCTAAGCCTTCAAAAGTGGTGAAGCCTGAGCGCACAAAAATGTATTGGGAATGGAAGATCACAAAATTGTGTTTCTAACTATACTCTTTTCTACTTTTTCCCCAAGCAATTAATTTGAAGCGTCATTGAAGATTATATGGACCTCGTCATTTTTGCCCTTTGGGTTGGTTGCTCAATTTTTTTAAGTTAAACAATGGAGTAACTATGTAGTTTCATTGCAAAAATTATGCCACGCCCAATAAAATTGCAAGTGTAAACTATCTCTATCCTCGTGTATAATATATTTTCAATTGCTTTCCTTTTCCATACAACAAGCATTCAAGCAGCACGTCCTGCAGCTGTTAAACATCACCCGCTTCACACTGCAGCAGCATGGCGAGATGCTCAACAACCTCTGCGCAACCCTTCCAGTCCACGCAGTTATTGCACACCCGTCCCTCGTCGAACAAGCGTTCAACACACTACCTGACCTCCTGGCCTTCGAGAAAGAGTTGGATGAAGAGAAGGCTCCACGTCTTGTAAGTATTTTACTTTAATGCTGCTATACAGCTGTGCGGCTGCTTAAAGGGTAACTTGGCTTAATTTCAGTTTAAGAGAACACTGCAATTGTCTTTTGCATCATATTGAAAGCCACATGACATAATCCCCTGAAAGGTTCATTAGACATTGTACATAGAGAAATGTTTTGATGGGTATGCAGCTGTTGTTCGGTTTCTATTAAGTACCTGACCACCCAGTCAAGTGAAGTAAAAATAGTGGCGCTTAATTCAAAGCAAATGATGCCAGAGCAAAATGATCAGTGATGAAGCGCAGTTCTGCAGTGGCTGCCGAAGAAAGAAGCCGGGTGACCCTCGCTAGAGCAGTTCCCATTTCTGCCGCGAGAAGGCGAGCAACGAACTGGAGATTCAAATAGCAGGCAACATCCGGTGCAGGGAAGAGCTCTGTCAGTAGTGCTGTATTTGCGTGGCCAACACTGCACTAGTTGCGTTCGAGACATTTTACCACAAATATTTTTTTCACATTATCATGCCTGGGTTATGCCATACTTTCCTGAATTAAGTTACATTCACCCCAAATATCCCATGCTGTCTTTTTATGCAGGTTCATGAGCTCGAGCAACTCGGGGGCAAGACTGCAAGCAAGGCCACGAAGCGGATGCTGACGCATCTGCTAACTGATGAGCTAGCTGCACAGTTCTCGTGGATCGGAAGAAAGGGAAAACTCAACTTTTCAGTTTTAAAGACTGCCACTGCGATTACTGGTAAGCCAGAAACTTGAGAAAGTGACTATTTCGACGTCAAACAAAGGTTATATTTGGGCAGTACTTTTTTTTTGTCTAGGAGATAAAATGTACTCCCCTTTATCTTTGAATTTCTAGAGTCGGATTGAGAGGCCTTGCAGCACTTCCGACGCTGGAACACTGTCATCAGCAAGGAGCAGAGTGCTAGCAGGCGGGGAGTAGGAGGTCAAAACAGCTTTCTTTTGTGTGCGTCTGAGGTTTCGCTTGCAGACTTTATACATATCAGATCACAGAGGTTTGTTTTGAAGTTCATTATGCCAGGCCTCTTGTATGTGCATTTGTTTTCTATTTCATACTTGCATTTCACTGCCTGTGAACATCGTTTCTGTGCTCTTGTGGATTTGCACCTCAATATTTTTTCGCACGTCTGATTTCAGGCGGAGTGACTTTTTTTTGGAAGCTTTCATTGTACAAGTTTTTGCTGTACTTTTTTTTCACAAAAAAAAGTTTTTTAGGGAAGTTGCATATAGTGTGGTGCACCTTGCAGTGGTTAGCTACCCTTGTTAATGTTACAGTAAAACGACTGTGAACCACTGTGCATTCCAGCTGAGGTGTTGTTTTTGAAGTTGTCTTTGATGGCAGGTGAAATAAATTTTAATAGAAAATTTAAAGATTTTTGGTTTGAGTTTTTGTGAAGAAATGTGTTCTTCCTTACACTTAGCATAACATTTGTCAAGATTGTAATGCTTGTATGTGGTTGAAAGGGCTCAACTGGGACACAGCATAAGTGATAAAACGTTGCCTCTCAAAAAAAGTGGTGATGTGTTCTTTCTAACTGTGTCATAGTATGTACTTAACATTTATGTGTAATTTCGTGCCACTTGTTAAACTTGCATGTGAATCCTCTCAGGAATGCTCTTGATTAGGAATTCATTCTATTTTTCCTTTACCCGAGCATTCAAAATGACCAAGATGCTGCTAAATCAAGGTGCTCCTCTTGGAATTACCCTTTCCTGTGCATGTCAGAGGTTTCGTGAACCTTATATTTTCTCACTATACCCACATCTATTTCTGGAAAAAAAACATCCTGTCATGCCTGTGGCAACCAGTCATTTTGTTTTAGAGGGAAACCCTGCAAAAAGAGGTCCATAAATATTGTGACTCGAAATGGTGAAATGTGCTTAGATGCTGAGCATGTTAATTTTATGCTCGCTTTTCCTGCACAGCTTGTTAATTTAGCTTGGTTGTATCCTAGCTAGGCCTTCTTGTTTGCTAGTCTCTCTTAAGCCACTGCAAAGTGGCTTAAGAGAGACTTTTTTAAAACACCTTAGTTGTGGGATTTGCATCCTACATAATGCATTCCCTCCCTCTCCCCCCCAAAAAAAATTAAAATAAAGATTAAGAAATATTAATTGCATGGTACTGATTTGGAGTTTTCCCAAAACTGGCCCTTAGACACATTTAAGTCCTTTTTCGGGAGAACTCAAATGAGTCTCATGTCTTTAATATTGCTTCTTGGGGTATAGATCGTAATCAGGCTGCGTAAAAAAAAAAAGCTTTGTTTTCTTTTCAATGCCCTTTTAAAGCCACTATGACAAGTTGCTGCATCAACTGCAGAAAACTTGATGAGCAGACATTTTTAAGAAATAAATGTGGGAAAACGCAAGAAAATATGGCTAACGAAAGTTTTGGCATGCATAGGGAAAGGCATTTTGAAGGAAGCATCCTGACCGGTACGGTCAAGGTGAGCTCCAGTTCGGATAAAAGAAAGGATGTCCCGTGGATGTCCGTTATCCATAAAAGGTTATTCTTTGGACATCCGGTGGATATGGAATGTCTCTTTCTGATCATCCGAGGGACGTCCGAAAGTCCGACTTGGATGTACGTGGGATGTTTCCTGGATGAACAATTTCTTTGCACAGGCCCATCCTAAGGACGTCCCCAGTACGTCCCTGGGATTTCTGCGGATATCCTACGGACGTCCCAATGTTCATTGCCGGATGTCCACCGGATGTTCCTTGGATATCTATTGTCCAATGGGAAGGAACCAGGTGACGATCTACCCGTGCATTTTATTTTTCACGTTTATTGAATAAATTTCACTAACAGTTCTAAACCTGTCTGGCAATTTCTTTGAGTTCTTACATTTCACATGTATTGTCTGGAGGGACAAAGCTGCCAGCCGAACGCAAACACAATGGCGGGGAACAAAGACAGCACGAGCACGTTGACGACATTCGCCGCGGAGGAAAAGACGTCAAGATATGCAGCGCCAGCAACCCGAAGACGCCGAAGGGGACTTCACGAAGACCACTTCGACCGCTAGGCGAAGCGAGCACTTCGACGATATTCCCTTCGGAGAGACGCGACGTCAAGAAACTGCGCCGACAAGCCGAAAATGCCGATGCGGACGCCAAGAAGTCCCCTACGACCGCTGGCCGACGCGAGCACTTCGACGACATTCCCTTCGGAGAGACGCGACGTCAAGAAACTGCGCCGACAAACCGAAAACGCCGATGCGGACGCCAAAAAGTCCCCTACGACCGCTGGCCGACGCGAGCACTTCGACGACATTCCCTTCGGAGAGACGCGACGTCAAGAAACTGCGCCGACAAACCGAAAACGCCGATGCGGACGCCAAAAAGTCCCCTACGACCGCTGGCCGACGCGAGCACTTCGACGACATTCCCTTCGGAGAGACGCGACGTCAAGAAACTGCGCCGACAAACCGAAAACGCCGATGCGGACGCCAAAAAGTCCCCTACGACCGCTGGCCGACGCGAGCACTTCGACGACATTCCCTTCGGAGAAACGTGACGTCAAGAAACTGCGCCGATAAACCGAACACGCCGATGCGGACGCCACGAAGTCCCCTACGACCGCTGGCCGACGCGAGCACTTCGACGACATTCCCTTCGGAGAGACGCGACGTCAAGAAACTGCGCCGACAAACCGAAAACGCCGATGCGGACGCCAAGAAGTCCCCTACGACCGCTGGCCGACGCGAGCACTTCGACGACATTCCCTTCGGAGAGACGCGACGTCAAGAAACTGCGCCGACAAACCGAAAACACCGATGCGGACGCCAAGAAGTCCCCTACGACCGCTGGCCGACGCGAGCACTTCGACGACATTCCCTTCGGAGAGACGCGACGTCAAGAAACTGCGCCGACAAACCGAAAACGCCGATGCGGACGCCAAGAAGTCCCCTACGACCGCTGGCCGACGCGAGCACTTCGACGACATTCCCTTCGGAGAGACGTGACGTCAAGAAACTGCGCCGACAAACCGAAAACGCCGATGCGGACGCCAAAAAGTCCCCTACGACCGCTGGCCGACGCGAGCACTTCGACGACATTCCCTTCGGAGAGACGCGACGTGAAGAAACTGCGCCGACAAACCGAAAACGCCGATGCGGACGCCAAAAAGTCCCCTACGACCGCTGGCCGACGCGAGCACTTCGACGACATTCCCTTCGGAGAGACGCGACGTGAAGAAACTGCGCCGACAAACCGAAAACGCCGATGCGGACGCCAAAAAGTCCCCTACGACCGCTGGCCGACGCGAGCACTTCGACGACATTCCCTTCGGAGAGACGCGACGTGAAGAAACTGCGCCGACAAACCGAAAACGCCGATGCGGACGCCAAAAAGTCCCCTACGACCGCTGGCCGACGCGAGCACTTCGACGACATTCCCTTCGGAGAGACGCGACGTGAAGAAACTGCGCCGACAAACCGAAAACGCCGATGCGGACGCCAAAAAGTCCCCTACGACCGCTGGCCGACGCGAGCACTTCGACGACATTCCCTTCGGAGAGACGCGACGTGAAGAAACTGCGCCGACAAACCGAAAACGCCGATGCGGACGCCAAAAAAACCCCTACGACCGCTGGCCGACGCGAGCACTTCGACGACATTCCCTTCGGAGAGACGCGACGTGAAGAAACTGCGCCGACAAACCGAAAACGCCGATGCGGACGCCAAAAAGTCCCCTACGACCGCTGGCCGACGCGAGCACTTCGACGACATTCCCTTCGGAGAGACGCGACGTGAAGAAACTGCGCCGACAAACCGAAAACGCCGATGCGGACGCCAAAAAGTCCCCTACGACCGCTGGCCGACGCGAGCACTTCGACGACATTCCCTTCGGAGAGACGCGACGTGAAGAAACTGCGCCGACAAACCGAAAACGCCGATGCGGACGCCAAAAAGTCCCCTACGACCGCTGGCCGACGCGAGCACTTCGACGACATTCCCTTCGGAGAGACGCGACGTGAAGAAACTGCGCCGACAAACCGAAAACGCCGATGCGGACGCCAAAAAGTCCCCTACGACCGCTGGCCGACGCGAGCACTTCGACGACATTCCCTTCGGAGAGACGCGACGTGAAGAAACTGCGCCGACAAACCGAAAACGCCGATGCGGACGCCAAAAAAACCCCTACGACCGCTGGCCGACGCGAGCACTTCGACGACATTCCCTTCGGAGAGACGCGACGTGAAGAAACTGCGCCGACAAACCGAAAACGCCGATGCGGACGCCAAAAAAACCCCTACGACCGCTGGCCGACGCGAGCACTTCGACGACATTCCCTTCGGAGAGACGCGACGTGAAGAAACTGCGCCGACAAACCGAAAACGCCGATGCGGACGCCAAAAAGTCCCCTACGACCGCTGGCCGACGCGAGCACTTCGACGACATTCCCTTCGGAGAGACGCGACGTGAAGAAACTGCGCCGACAAACCGAAAACGCCGATGCGGACGCCAAAAAGTCCCCTACGACCGCTGGCCGACGCGAGCACTTCGACGACATTCCCTTCGGAGAGACGCGACGTGAAGAAACTGCGCCGACAAACCGAAAACGCCGATGCGGACGCCAAAAAGTCCCCTACGACCGCTGGCCGACGCGAGCACTTCGACGACATTCCCTTCGGAGAGACGCGACGTGAAGAAACTGCGCCGACAAACCGAAAACGCCGATGCGGACGCCAAAAAGTCCCCTACGACCGCTGGCCGACGCGAGCACTTCGACGACATTCCCTTCGGAGAGACGCGACGTGAAGAAACTGCGCCGACAAACCGAAAACGCCGATGCGGACGCCAAAAAGTCCCCTACGACCGCTGGCCGACGCGAGCACTTCGACGACA